TCACTGCAAAGTGCCTATCCCTCTCTATCCAGTGGTCAAATACGATCCTTTGGGGTTTTACACGACGAAGGATGACCCCTGTACCCAAAACCCAGTTGTACTTCAATCAGCATTCTCTTGGATGATGACGTTGTTGAGGTGCTCTGCCACGAACGGCTTCATATCTCTTGACACAAGAGACGTTGACGATGCCGACAAAAACTTTGACACCTCGGGCAGCAGCTGCTGTCTGAGTCGGGCGTAGAGCATTGCAGCTATACCCGAGCTCACGATTCGTAGGAAGGCTTTCAATCCGTTAAGGAAAATGGGTATTCCTGGTCAAGCCGTGCAGGGAGGGATCCTAGAAGGAAGGGTCATAAGGCTTTCGAGTACGGCAGCATTTGATTGAGTGATAGTGAAATCAGAAGGGAGGGGTCATGCTACATGCTGGACCAGGTGCCTGTCACCTGCCGATCGACGCCGAAATTCGGGAAAAGTTGGAAAGGTGGAAGGTGGTAGAGTCTTGTTCGCTGCGGATGATGGGGCGTGTCAGTGAGACTAGACTTGGCGCGCCACAAGCCCACTCTCCACCACTTGTTGGAGCGGGAGAGCCTCAACAATTAGTGGAAAGTGACTGATATGAACCATGAGTTACAGTCGTTTCGCTTGTCGAATGAAAAAGAGGAAAAAAGGGCTAGCGCTGCGCTAAACCCACGCCCCTGACACTCCCCGTTATCCGCAGTGACCAGGACTGTAGATAGGATTGGAAAGGAAGTCAGACCAAAACGCAAACTTTGGGGAGAAGGAGATGGTTTATTTAGCAAAAAAATTCCATATCGTGATGGTGTGCTCCGAACCCCTTGCCTGTCCAGGACAGCTCGAAGACGTCACCTTAGAGAATTACGAGTTCACATTAATCTCACCACTAAGTGGGAGGACATTAACTTTACGAGAAAATGACGAATAGTCCACAAGAACCACGACATTCAACGCCGCACTATAAGCATCCCACACGCCACAGGGAGACTCCATATCGAAGTTCGAGAGAGCCGGGCTGTACTTCATTTGAGAGTAACGACGGCTCTGCTCACAGAGGTATATTGCCTTTTTCGCCAGCTGTATCTTGTATTTGTCCAGCTCAATCAAGAAAGCCCAACAGCTTCCTGAGATGGAAAAATCTTACGAGTGGTCACCCACGATATTTTCGAATGGAGCACGCAGCACGGGGATATGGGCTGTACCCTGCAGCCGTGCTCAGGAGGGTCGAATTTCTATCTCAGTTGAGATTCCTATTCAACTTTCGAGAAGCGGTGCCGTAGTTAGGCGAATACAACCATTCTTTCTAAGAAAACACCAAAAACGAAAAATGGAAATTTTGTGGAAGGAATCAAAGGCAAGAAAAAATCAACAAACGTCTAAAAGGTTTTACGAAGACTCCGTAAAACCACATCGTTACTGGAGATCTTTTCCATCGCCACAATTTGCAGCATAGGTACGGCATACTCATTGGTCGATCAATTTGTGGGATCAAGCCGGAATCCTCTTCAGGTTGATCGTCATCCGGTCGTTCGTCCATCGGTGGTCCAGGGGCACACGCCTAAAAGTCCGTTAGCTTGACTCAACATTGAACCCCAAACAGAATAGGAGAAAAACAATTTTTCTGAAAGCAAGACCCGAAGTCAATATCGGTTTTCGGCTCTATTTACAGTCTTGATTGCTGCAAGGACGGCTAGGCGTGTCAGTGGCAGAGCCTTGCGCGTCGACGCCAGCCAGTTCTTTTTCGGCGATTATTAGTAGCTTGAATTTGCTCCGGATTGGCGTAGAACATGGCTGGCCCATACAATATGCAACTGTTTGATGTCGAAAGGTGTCCTCGCCTAAAAACACCTGCTAGGGTTTTAAAGGTCGTTTAAAAACTGGCGCATGTGAAAGCGCCAGTTTTAGCGACCTTTTTAAACGCTAGCAGGTGATTTTTAGTGGAAGCGGTTCGTGGCATTTGTGTTCATGACACGCCCTAGCGTCTGCACGCAATTAAGAACTAACAATTTGCACACGAGTTTCTGAGCAAGTTGGAATGCTCCTAAGCAAGCTTTGGAATGCTGCCTCGCGCCGAGCCAGAGCGTTTCGGATGCATATGTTCGTGGAAAAGGTGTGTCAAAACCACTTGCGGATGGAGAATTCCAAGCAAGATCCAACCCCATAGATGGATATCGATCCGAATCTGGTCTAAATTTCGACAACTGGGACAGGGAAAGGCAACCAGTACTCCGTGTCCAGCAAAAGGTGAGTAAAGCCTATATCCCACTGGTGGAAAGGGCGTGGCTGGATACTTTACCGCGTGAGCGCTTTGGAAACTTGTCGTTTCTAAGAGACCTGTAGTAAGGCCTTTGTCTCTCTAGCACAAGACAGTATGAAGGCTGGCCTAAGTAGAGAATCCAATGAGAACGAATCCTATGGAATTAACGGGGTGAGCACGCCCTCTCTATTCTCAAGTAAAAGGTAGAGAACCTTCGCCGTTGATCAATCCCTTTGTGGGATGCGGCACGCATTCTACTTCCATTCAGAATCGTAGTGGCTTATTGAATGCGATGTGGCCTATACAATGACTTGCGGGGGCCAGCCGATGTACAAGTCAGTGTTATTATCCTCCCAGACGAATCTTTACCGTCCCGGATGGTAGATGGCTTGGTTGGCCTACGCGGGGGATTTTCCCGGGATTTCTTAAAAGGACACACCAGAAATGGTGAGCACGGGCTTTTGTCACTGAAACCACCTCCTGCGAGCCCATTCTCCGAAGAAAATGATTCTATAAAGGCAAGAGAAATCACTCACCTTTGCGTCCACACTCACCGTGACTCGACTGCTTTCCGTATGACTTTCGCCACGGTCTTCGGGCGTCAAAACCCCGCATCAACCGTAGAAACCTGAATAAACAAGGGTTACGATTCCAGGAAATGACATCCAAGAGCCTTGTCTATGGTTGAGGAGAAGGAAGGGAAAAGCGTCAACTAAGAGAATCTCTGGTAATTTCCATACCCTAAATCTGAATTACGCATGCTATTTCCGACCTTTTTCAAGCCAATGCAACACGGTTCTCGCACCTCAGTTTGTATTCATGCCCATGCGTCCTTGGGGGAAGAGTATGGGATCGAATGAACCTTGGATGAGTAAAGATGAGTCAGTTCGTCACAGTACCAGATGTCTTGTCAAAGATTTTCCTTGGGCCTAATATGGACTCAGTTTATTCTTCTTTCAGCACAAATAAACTCACTCGTAACGTCACTTTTCTCTAGTCTAGTCATCTCGTACTCTAGTAAAGCTTGACTAGACTGTTTCACAGAAAGGGATTCACTGGAGATTTACATAAGCACGTGATGGTTCACCACCTGGCGCTGCCCTTGCTGCCTTCCAATTTCAAACCATGAATCCATAACCTATATTCTAAGTTACTGGGAGGGTGCAGTTTGACGACACTGGGAGGGGGGGGGAGGCAATTTGCACCTTCGCTACTTTCCATCGACCTATCTAAAGAGCCTGTTCTCGAGTCGACAGGTTTTACCATGATGGCTAGATGAGCTTGCTCCAGCTTCATAAGAGTTTCAGCAGACTCCGCTAGAGTGAGGATGAACCGGAACTAGAAAGCTTAACGATCACGTACGACAAATTGCCTCGCCTCGAATCCTCATTCCCGTCGTGCAACACTGGCGTTTGGTTGCTGGAAATACTAGGGACTTTGGAAGTGAAATAATGTTAAAATGCTAATTAGCATGTTGGCGCAATGTATCTCGAGAGGGGCCACCACCCAGTGAGGCGTCGTCATGTTCTGACGTTACACGGCTACGTCATGTATGTGTGAGAGGATGCATTGGACTGCTAACATGCTCCTAACTCTCCACCAAGCCATGTCACAACACATCACACTCTTTCGCTGAGAGGACGCAGACAGATATATGGATCCGGCTTAGCTCCGTTGAAACCTAGTTCTTCTTGGAGGCACGCGGTGAGCAATATTTCCACAAGGCAATATTACTTCGAACACGTTGTGATGCAAAAAAACTGAAAAACCATTTGACAGAAAACTAATAGAAGCTAATTATGCTAATAATGTGTTGATTATTTCACTTTTTCTGGAGCTACTAATGTGTAGAGGGGTCTATATTCAGACAGATAAAGAGAAAAAAGCAATACAAGAAAGGAAAGGATAAAATACTAGCAATGCATATAACTTGTAAAATAACCGAAGAAGAGGAGAAGAAGTGTTGAAGCCACTTTTGTTTAGTGGTGAAATGTAGAGCCTTCGAAATAGTAACGCTTCAGAGTCCACTGTCAGCACGATTACTGTGTGGGGCGTGGTCAGAAGCACCATAGCGCTTTCCTTATTGGTACGCCCCCTTCTCTTCACTCTACTGGAGGAAAAACATATTGAGGGAGACGAGAAGGTTTGGCCCAGCTTTCAAGATCGTTGAACACCTTCATAATTTGACTACACCCGTGAAATGTCATCTCACAAGAAGTTGGAAATGTGCTGCAAACTAATCCGGAGGCAAAATGCCGTTCAACTCCTCCATGAGCTAAAGCTTTCGACTAAAATCTTACCTGAATTTGAATAGCTGGGGCAGTAGAGGGTCAGTGGTAGCTGGTCTCTCATTAAAAAGGGCACATGCGGTTACAACTAGGATTTTGACTTGTTATCTTTCCTCTCGTAGGTGTAAGTCTCGTAAGGCCGCACCTTTTCAAACGAAGACAGATAGACCAAGAGTTGCCCAATATATTAAAAAATCCCTCGTCAAGTCTCCAGAAAAACATTCAAGGATTGGAGGACGACTGGATTTGCTACTCCGGAAGGGAGGTTTGAATCTGTTCTCCCTAACCAAGAGTGGGTTGAGCTCTGGCGAATTATCTCAATCTTTCTTGCCAATACCCCTCTAAAAGCTGCTTTATTACCTTCACAAAGCTGTAGGTGTGTATTCAGAAGTGTTTTTCGACAAAATGATCAATCAATGATGAAAAGCTGCGAATGCAGCAAAAAATGATTGAAGAGAACTACGCGTATAACTAGCAAAACACTAAGGATGAATGGTGAGAAGAATGGGCAATACGTCAAGGGAGCGCCAACAAGGCAAGAACGGCGATTTCTGCCAACAATCTTAGTATTCGTGAGAAAGAGCTTAAATTAAGCTAAGTTTCTATTTTGTCGAAAAGTTCATGTGCAATAAATTGAAGCATTACATTTTCAGTTGCACATGCTTTTGATCCCTGCTCTTATTGATGTGAGCGCAGAGAAGGTGATCTTGTCTGCTTCGTACCGGTCCAAGAGCATGTGAGAAACAAAGCAGGTCATCTTCTCAACTTTACTCTGAACTTTGTTTGGCCTAGAGGTGGGTTGGGGGAGGAATTTGGCACTTTCGTTTGGTTCTTTTTGATAGTTGAGGTTGGCTGACAGGTTTCATCAAAGTGAGACCTGTTAACTTTTGTCAAGCTGTGAGGTTGCACCCACTCGAGCGATACCAGAATCAACAGGACGACAGGTCATAGGGCAACTTCTACTACCAATTCCACTTGTCGTCTGTGACTTCTTTGGCTATCAGCTTAAGTAAGCCAAAACCTCGAGAGGTACTAGTAGTAGATGTAGTAGATTGTAGGAGGTTGCGAGTGTGGGTGCTCTAACTTTCTCCTCCCAATTATCACCTAGACCTTAATTTGCCCTTCTAACAATCACAGAGGATGCGAAATAAATGTCTAAGCAATGATGTCATTCAACGCCACACGTATCCTGACGTTCTTGGGGTGGGGATTTGAGTTCCAAGCCCATTTGAAGGGTAAGGATCAGGGAAAACTAACAAGCGGCGCCGTGATAGGACGCTGGAGTTCGGTAACCAAATTCTTCATCCTTCAAGTTCCTCTGGACCGTGTAAGCCTATCACGGTCATTCAGCATGTACCAGAGGTCGAAACCTGGATCGGCTCCCGCCCAGACTAACCAAGCCTTCCACCCCGGGGAAGATAAACTGGTACCAGGATTTGTCTGGGAGGATGAGAACGGTGATCTGTACCCCGGCTTGCTTTCGGGGAATATGGTAAAGCTCAAGACGCATCCAAATGCTACCCGGTTCTGCATAAAAGTAGTAGTGAAGCGTGCTGAAAAGCGGTTCATCAACGTATAATGGCGTGTTCTTCTACCTTCTTGTTGAGAATTATATATTATAAATATATAAAATACACTTTAGTTTATATTATAGCCCACAAATTATACTTTACAGCAACTGTTAATTGAAACACGCCCCGTCACAACATCTTATTTTGAGAATAGCGAGTCACAAGCGCATACCGAAAGGATTTAATTGGCGCTTTGTCCGGCTGGGCAAAGGTAGGACAAGTCTCTCCACTTTCGAACCAAGGCACGTCGTCGAATCCTGGGAAATCTCTGCCAACTACCACTAATCCCCCCCCCCCACTCCCTCGGTTATCCGCCTTCGGTGGGCCCATTTCACTCGAAACTCACCATCAACGACCAGTCCACTTCTTATACCAATATTTTCAAAAATTGTAAACATTCCGCCGTGAAGCGAGAAAGATATATGTGGCGCGCGTGAAATGGTAAAAATTAACTGCTGGAAAAATTGACCCTTAGCCTTGGTGCCCAGACGCGATCCTTATTGTAATCCCCACATGATTACGTGTCTTGAAATTCCTAGCGATCCTTCGAAGTGCACCCCCGCAATCGGCGGCAATATATCACCCACTTATTCATAACTATGTTGATGGGCTTCACAGCTGACACTTTCGGGTGTGATCTATGTTCGGGTGGTGGGAAACATAATTGAATGAAACATCAGCAATCGGGGAAAAAATCTTCCGAGGGGAAAGCAACGCCCCTTTCCCCAGCGCCAAAGAGACCTACCTCCGTCGTGATCAGCGCACCTCCTGCAGTTGGGAAGAGATTTTCCAAGATGCGACCTCCTTGCTGAAAGCTTTAACTTCTGATCTCTGGTGCGACCCCCACCCCATCCGATCTTATCGGATTCCCCGAAATTCCTTCCCCTTTTGCGGAGCTTTCTTCCTGAGATCTGCCGGGTTCTTTTCAACGGAACTATATGGCACACTTGAAACAGGAAAACCGAGAAAGATCGCAATTTCTTCTTAGCAGAAGAGCCTAAGGTGACCAACAACACAAACAACCCCTCGCTGGAGGATGCCCTCAACGTGTGAGATGCCCTTGACGTGACTCCTACCACGATGGTGGGCCTTTCCCAAACCGATACAACCTTCAGGATTCTGCAATGAGGTCGACGGAAAACCCTGGCGCTCAATTCATTCATAACTAGGCTGTCGAGATTCACAGCTGACACTTCCGGGGGTGCTCACGTGGTGGTGGAAATGGGATGCGAACGGAAAATCAACAACTGGAAAAACTTCTCAAAGATGGAACACTATCTTCATCTATAGTGGCCCAATGCGATTAAAGCAAAGGTGATGTGCCCTGCAAATCACTATGTAGCAACCTTACCGATTCTGCACGCCACAATCGGTGGGGGAAAACACGCATGGATCCAGGTATAATCATAATCTACGGCTGCCAAAATTCACGTCTAGAATATTTCCGGCGGTTGTTCTTGCAGAAAGGAATTAGGAATGGAAACACCACACAACTGGGAAAACAGTTTCTTCGAGGTGAAACAGGCCTTCTTTCCTGCGGCCAGGCCAGGCCAACCTCGTGGCTCATACACAAGAGAGTTGTCCGCTGTTCCGTATTTCTGCTACCTCAGAGTGCCTGAGCTGCGGCTTGCGTGCGCGCCTAAGTTGCTTTGGCGCCTTTTTCAACCAAGGGCACCGATATAGTGCCTTAAACTTGTGAGTTGCAAAATGCCACCAGATGCCACTGCAACCTCCCAACAGTAGATGGGCCAGATATCACATCGACGTAGACTCTCATTTATTTTTTTTTTATTTGTTTTTTCATTTATGAAGTACAAGCTGATATTTGAAGCGCAGCTATCAAGGCATATACAGTTCTTCATCATACGGACTGTCGGGCGGTTACAGCCGCGCCTGCGACAACGCACTACAGCTCGGTGATTGCGAATCAGCTGATTTCCCAGAAATTCTGGCTGCGAATTCCCCACTTTTTCAACGCTTTGGAAACAGAAGGTGAGTTATTTTGAACGACTTTCAATTGTTATTTGAAACAATTTCAATTGTACTGACTCTGAATGATCTGAAAGAATGTTAAGCCATTTGAATAAATGCCTGAAATAAGGCAAAATACAAGGAAAAGAGCATAATAATCGACATAAAAATAAAGGAAATCAGAGCCAGTACAATTCTAAAAAATGTTCAGTATAAGCTTCATCCCACTTCAAAAGCTTGAAGAACTGAAAAAAGTGGGAATTGCAGCCGAATTCCATCGAAATCAGCTGATTCACCGTCACCGAGCCGCAGCCGCTGTCGCGTCACAGTGCAGCGCGGCTGTGCCGCCCCGACAGTCCGTAATGATGAGGACTGTAGTAATGCCATGCGTAAACCGTATCATTCACCGTAGTCAATCGGATCTGGACGCGGAAAGTCCTCGTTTCACGATATATTCTGTACACTCGCCCATGCCATGCAGAACAAACTTTTGAGCACGTTTTTGCCCGTTCAACTTGGCTTTTTCGTCATTTTCCCACTATATAGCACCTCTTCTACTAGTACTAAGAACACTCTAAATTATCGTTCTGCCCATATGCCTTCGGAAATTTCACATCATCCTTCCTACAACCAATCAGCGAAGAAACACCGGCATAGGTTCCAAGTTCATTATAAACTAGGCTGTCGATTCACAGCTGACACTTCCGGGGTGATCTCAAGTGGTGATAGTGGAAATGGATGAATTGATGTTATTTACATCACACATAGCGTTTCGCACTCATCAAATCATTAATGGTCCGAACCACCTCCGCCGACAAATGACAACGGCGGGGGTTTCTTTCAGCTTTGCACACGGAAGCAGGTCGATTCCGCTTCAGCTACTCCAGGCCATTTCCGTCCCCGTTTCCCCCACGCAACACTGCTAGCCACGCAGTCAGCCAATAATTAGCAGTAGTCCACTTGGAACCATTGAAGAGTAAACATCGTTAAATAAACAAACAGACAATCATGCCATTCCATATAAACCCAGCTCTGGACTTTGTTAAAAAAACGGGATAGAAATGTTAAAAAATTGGGATACAAATCAGATTTTGCCATATTGATCGGAATTTTAAAGTAAACGGAACACAAGTACGATGCTTAACATTTCACATCTTTTCCAGATAGAATGAATATTGGCGCAGTTCGGCTTGGGGGGGGGGAGGGTGCATCTTGCGCATTCGTTATCTGTCATCGTTGTTTCATTGCGTGACAAGAGTTGGACTAGTAGCCTACAAGCTTTGACTGGTATCGCTTCATGGCCTAATAATATTTCACAGATCCTTGATACTTGACTCGACACGACCACGGGAAATAGTGAAGGTGCAGAATACCCTTCCAATCCGAACTATGCCACGAAAAATTACGAAGTTAGGTAAAAATTGAATAAATAAGAAATATTGAGGGGAAGTAGAAGAGTGCGAAGGGCACCGAGTCCCGTTCCTCAGAGCTCAACAAAACCGTAGGGCTTCGGGAGTCATTTGCGCTATGAGAATTCTTCGAATTCACAGAAATAGACAGAAATTTTCAAAATATTTTATGCAGCCTTTCTTGCCTGAATGCCTCTAAGGGCTCCCGTAAAAAGGCTAAAAGGGTGAGAATTCGCCAGTGAAAAAAACGCACAATGAAAGCTGTGTACCTTGTGGAGTGGTGTGCCAATCCTTCAAGGGCAGAGATGACTTCGGCCCCGAGCCCTCATCTCCACAGACAAGTCTGGTGCAAAAAAAACAGGGTCAAAAGAAGCTTTGGTGGATTGCACTGGATTCAGTCCTGCGGTCTGTACAGTCTTGTTCACAGAGGCACTTCAAGGAGGGAGCTGGGTTTGGCGCAGCGCAGGCCGTTCTCCAACAGTTGTGGGTGCGGCCTACCACTAGCCTATATCCACTGCGCTATAAGCCGAAAGGCTATTATGTTAGGAATCCGTATTTGAACCAAGTGTCCTACAGAGGACCGCCACAGGAGGTCGTTCGATGGTGGAATGTAATTGTTAATTACACGCAGACTGGAAAAACCGTTCACCTTACCGCGACTCAAACCTGAATCTCACATTTCCCAGCTAGCTGGGCCAACACTGCTAACCCGTGGCTGCCTTCAGTGCTCTCATCCTCCCAGACGAATCTGGTACCGATTCGCCGTCTCCGGAGGGTACAAAGCTTTGCTGGCCTCGACGGGAGCGGGCCGGGGTTAGACTCCTGGGCTGCGAGCGAGGTAAGTGGCCGCTTGCCACTACACTGCACACGCCGTGACTAGTGATGTCAATGTATTTATCACCGGTACTTGATAATATTTGTTTTAGAATGAAGCTTAGAGGGTAAGAGGCTGCCATGTCGGCGTGGCGGATAGGGCACGCGTCCGGTAAGCGTGAGGTGCGGGTTCGGGTTCCGCCTGAGGGACAGAACTTCCGACTATAACTCGGCAATCTTGTGATAACTTCGTTCAAAACCCTTTCGAAGACCAAGAATTTTTTTGCTCACTATTTACTTTTCAATCAGTTGCTTTTGGGTCAGTAAGCAGGAGGTAATCCAGGTATGGCCAATCTCCTGAGCCTCTCAGGCGACTAAGACCTCCTTAATCCCAATCGATCAGGGACTCTTATTCGCAGAAACTCCTGAGCAGTGCTGTGTTAAGTAGAGTCACTTGGTTACAAGCAACATATTACAACAGTAGGTGAACTTTCGATGCTCTGGTGAATCTCACTGGGAGGTCTTGACTGCAGTGATCCCCGGAGAACAGCAGTTTCGGACATATGATACTCTGGGAAGACACTCACGAAAACCCGAATGTTTGGCTAGTAAGAGGTTTTTCGGCTAGAGCTATCAATTATCATTCTTACAGGATCAGCCCTTCAACTAAAAATTGCCGTTCGCCGGTTGACGGCTATTGTTGGGTGATGTTCAGTATATCCTCTCAGTAAGTGATAAATAGAATTATTTTTCCGAGAGAAGGATCCTAGAGAAAAAGTTATTTACCCCATATCCATCCTGGAGAATTCCATTTCGAAGTAAAAATATTTGTGATTGGTTTGTGTGTCTGAGTGTGTGTTTGCCGGCTGCTTCTAAGCCTTTAGAGGGCAACTCTCGCAGTCCAGCATTGATCCCCGCAAATTCTTACACCATCGACATCACCACCCACCCACCCACCGCACTTCCGCCCCCATTTTGGTGGGCAAATATATTTGAGTGGTACGAGGGCCGTGTCGAGTTCGCATTAGAAGAAATTGTGTGTGCAGCTCCGAATTAGTGCGCGCTTCAGCAATTGTCCACTCGAAATGAGCGAAGAAAAAAAAATCATCAATTGAACGACGGGGCCAAATCGACGAATTGTCTCCGCGGCTGCGCTGCCAGCAGCACAGATCGATGTCGTGACGCGGCGCCACAATCGCTATTGTCGCCGCCCGCGCCTCCCTCATTGTCCGACATGTCCCTTGGGCTGGCAACAGTGTCGCCATGATGCAGCGAGCAAAAATTGGAGCGTGCAAAAAATGCCGACATGCGCCCGCCCGAGGTGCTAGGAATATGCCTGTCGTTTATGACAATCACTGCCACGTCCAGATTAGGGTGTCTCAGTCATGGACAAAAAAGTTTTTTGCCATTTTTTTCGAGGAAAGGCGTTGGTTCTGGTAAAGAGACTTACTGGTGGAAACAAGGTAGAAAAGAGAGCAGAGCTAGCAGAGTGAAGAGAGAGGCAAAGGAACCAGTGGTAGGTTAGGGACCTACCCGTGTCAGGGACCTACCCAAGCGCTGGTAGCCACTTTCTGGCATTCAGATGGGCAAAAGAATCCTACTAATAATCCTCCTATGCTACTTCACATGATCAGACGGGGACTCACCGCGCCTCTGCGATGTGGTTATAAGTACATAGACAGCACAGATGTCAAACTAATCACTGAAGAGTGCCATTTCGTAAAAGAAGCTGCCAACCAAAGGAAATCAAGGCGCTACTTGAGCGGAGCATTTGAAGGACTCTTTATGCAGAACTAGGATTGAAATCATCTCAATAGAATGATCATACTTGGCACTGGTTCACCTTCCACCTTCAGACATGGACGAAGGCACTTATCTCCACTAGGGTCATCCTTCTAGCCATGCGTAGGGTGCCTTTAATTGCCCCTCTGAGATTGCAGGATTGGAAATTGCTTCACTGATCTTATACAAGCAGAGAAGCAACAGAGCTGGCGCTTTGGAAAAAGCGACCAGGGTGTCCTTACTTAGACAGGAATCCACCCAGATTCAACAGACCTGTCGCTAACGTCAAGGTCTGTGGAATCTGGTTAACCGTCATTCTAGAACCTGGTCAGTTGGCTCTCGGACCCCCCCCCCCTTGTTATGAAAGGACCAACCTCGAAAAATGCTAGTCCGTTTGAACCGCTCTTTCGACGGGATGCTTACCTAGAGCCTTTTGACCGCGACTGGAAGAGTGCATCCCTCTCGGGGCACATAAAGGGGATGAGTAAGATGGCGGTCTTGGTGAGGCAATTCGAGAAACAGGCCTTTAATACGACCTCTTTCAGAGCCTATCCCGCAACAGTCGTCTCCTACACAAAATTTTTTTCAAACTCTCCTATCGAGCGGGCCGTTAAGGTGACAACCACGATCCCTGATAGGATTTGCCTTTTTTAAGGATAACCGCGCATGTTCGAGTTCAAATGGAAAAGTTTCACGTACCTAGTACTAGTTACGGAGTACTGGTTTGAGGCCATAAAAAACCATTTTCAGTGGTGAAAGTGGCAGAATGGCTACAACAGTAAACTCATTCTTGTAGTGAGCGCCTTTCGACTTGGTGGAGGCGATTTGCCGGTTTCCATCCACCATTACCGATGCGTACTGAAGAGTCGGACTGAATGAGTAAGTTTTCTTGAGTGAAACTCTCGTTTCAGGGCACGTTTCCCTCCCAGAAAACTTGCTCATCCAGTCCGACTCCAGCCCTCCAATGACCAAATACGATCGCTTCGCTAGGGATCTTAACGAATGACGACGTGCCTTTTCCGTTTGAACTTGACCACAACCACTTACAGCCTCATCAAGGTGAGACATGTAAGGTAAGAGGGGCTAGCGACTTATAAAAATGCCCTTACCTAACCCGTGTACACCTTTTACTGCTCTAGATAGACTTTTATTTCAACTGAACAAAGTCTATTTTCAGTCCAAAAGCGGGCCGGGAGAATTGTATGGAACGAGGCGAAATTCGCAGTGGTGCAACTGCTGGCACCCGGAGCCATTGTGCAGGCTCGATCCGTATTCCGATGACTACCTTTGTTATTCGAGATGTGTAATGCAATGGTAAACAAACAGAAGTAAACAGTAAACAATAACGGCAATATAGCCAAAAATATGATGAAAACACTTTAGGAAGGAAGAGAACACAATTAGATAGTATTTCCGTTACTAGTTGACTATCATAGGTTCGGATTCGGAATAGCGTGTTTCGTTTAGAGCATACCCTGCCGTCGGGAGACAATTTTGTAAAGTTCGAATGCGGTCAGAATTTGGTACGACTTCTGGCACGACCTCTGGCACGACCACCCCCCCCACTGGGAATCCCCATGGTACGTGCCCTGATTCGCTATTAGCCAGACGGATGGGTAGCGAGAAACTTCCCTCATAAAGGAGAATAGCTGCTAATAACCTTGGAGGGAGCATTCAGAGGACTCTCTGTGCAGAACTGAGATCATTTCTAGAGTTGTAGAGGATGTTTTGCCCTTCCAAGTATCCAGTGGGCAGTTTATTCAATACTTTCAGCCTAACGTTTCAACGCGATCGTCTTCTTCGGAGGCCTAAATGTGCTTCGAACTCAGGAAATTAACACTACCTCGTCAAGTGCCCAGTCTACTCTAGCAGTTCCGATGGCGTGTTCGGAACTTGGGTTCATTTCCTCAACTGGAAAACAAGTTTAGGTTTCTGAGAAAGAAGATTACGTCGAGACGTTGGACTCAAAGAATTGACAAAAAAAACTGCTCCACCTAAAAACTGGCGGCGGAACATTTTCAGAGCTCTAACGAAGCAAAGGACAATGCCGATGATGTAACGAGAGAGAAGCTGGAGAACTAGTGTCTACGCCTTCCAAAAAAATTACCGTACTTGTAGTTCACACTATCACACGTAATGGACGCTCGGTTCTCGTCGCTGGGGGGGGAGGGGGGGGGGAGTGAGGGGGCAACACTGGGGGCACACCGAAGCGTGCACAGGCTACCTTGTGAAGACCTGTGAATTCTTGTAACCAAAGTGGCTTACTTATACCATTCACAACTTCACAAGAGTTTACAGGTCTTACCAAAACTGGACCTGTTAGTTAACGTGAACTAGCAAAAGGAACTAGCGAAAATACAAGTCCCCCTCAAGCAAAACAGCGCCTAGTCTTTGCAATCTACCTCCAGTCCTTCTCGTCATCGACCAAGTAATCCATGATGGAAGCTCATATAAAATCTAGTGCTATTTTTCAGCTTTTGTCAAATATTACCCTTTACTGTACTTCCATGAGAGCTCTCCACCCCTTTTTCGGATGTTGGCTTAGGGTGGTTCCTGAGAAAACAGGGGCAATAGCTGTAACAGGAAGTTCTGATAGAGCAGATAAACCATCTTCCGTCTAACGGTCGTATAAAGACCGGTAGCCAGGTAGGAACTCTCCTGGAACGATACTGATCTCTTCCATCCTTATAAAACGACACGCTAGATAATCTGACACGGAAACTAGCCATAGGAGACTGCGGGGTCGCTTAACAGCTGCGCCATTATTGAACACCCCTGACCCTATGAGCCTTACGGTTTTCCCGTCAGGGAACGTCGCACGTTGGATATCCCAATGAGGGGGGCTATTTGGACACGGAGACAGGGAGTCGTATTTGCCACCATTCAGAAAAAATGTCTTCGGCTGCTGACCCTCCGACGACACTGCTTTACAGAAAGATGGGAGGCCTTTTCGGTTAAAAAAAGATCTATTGAGAAGTAGTAGTAAGTTGCGAGAATTTAGGAATATGGTAGGTAGGGTGGGGAATGGGGAAGAGGAACCCTTCCAGAGGAGGACTTGAGAGGTGGGGGGAGGCGTCCTTAAGAAGTCTCTCAAAATGGTAGTAAACTGCTCTTATGATGCAGCACAAGTGCAGCTTGATTGCTATTCTACATTAGCGGTTATATGAATTTCGCTATGGAAACTAACAGTAGGCCTTCAACATCTTAGCAGAGCTTGAGACTTCTTTTTTTTACTGTCTCTGTGTGGGCACGAAAATATTTTTTATACTAATTAAAAACACTCGAGAAAATCCGCTGCAGTGGCAAAAGCCCTATCCAGTAGACATGCTAGGTATCTTCGTATTGAGGGAACAAAGATATTAGGTAAGATTGCAGAAACGTACAGCAGCCCTATTAGTTTGGTGATGCATCATTAAAATGCACGGCTCAATCACTGCATTATTGAGATGCCATCCATTCTAAGCCCATCGGGGATAATGCTCAATTAGGTAGACAAATTACTCAATTTTTGCACCAGAAAGAGAACGACCTGGGCGTCCCCGCTCAACCGAAATTTCAATTCTGACATATTTGCCCCGAGTGATACAGGGAAGATTCTGGGACTTTTTCGGGGACAATTGTTAGTAACAGATAGCCCTGACGCCCAGTGAGTACTATAATATGTATACTCGAAATCCCAGAGATTGGGTGGGCGTGGCTAAGCACTTAATTTTAGAAAGGCGGCGGCCCGTGAGATATTTTCATTTTGGAACAGTTGTAATCATGTGATCATCTGACACAGAACAAGGTGGTAGCTGTTTCAAACTGAAGTAACCTACGAGTAACCCGTCCTATGCCGTGCTCAAAAGCCACGCCTAGCCCGTCTCAGGGATAAGAAGTGTATTAGTCACCACTGAAGTAGAACTTAGCGATGGTGGCTTTCACATTTGAATGCTCTGCATAAGTCTGTCATTAATGCGAAAGGATTCGGGAATGATTCATCCCATGCAGTTCGCAAGATCCTCGATGTCTGGGAACGGTTCTGACAGTCCCCAGGCATGAGTTAGAACTCATTTTGTGCTGACATGCGCAGGTCGCCATCGGCACCGTGTGGACAGGTGGCTAGGTGGTAAGCCGTAGCCACTGGCATCAATGCGTTCATAAAATTCAGTACCAAGACAGTCGTGAGTTTTAGTGGCGATTTCGTGGGTGATTCAGTGGTGACTGATGGCTATGAGAAAGCTAACACTACCTCAAAACAAAATGTAACCTAAGAATTTGGGTAGACATGTGAGAGAGGGGGCAGCATCATAGACAAGAGAGAAACCAAGCCGACAGCAGTAACACTTTCTTATACGACTATGGCCGTGCACATCATTCATCATTGCTGACGTAGGATCAATTGACCAGTTTTTAGGAGAGCTTCTAGCACCCACAGCCATTGATCGATGGAGCTAGTGTTCGCCTACTTGTATTTCTTTGGCAGCATGGATGATGCCCACTGGAGTCCCAAAGCAACAGTCCGCGCTGATTCCGTAGGCGGAGTTAGGCCTAACACTGCCCTTCTCCACTGCGGCCTTTTCAAACGCAAGTGCTGCTTAGGCGCAGTGATAAAGAACCGTAACTCGGCCGGGGCCAGTTTGGATGAGATTTCTTGAAACGGTACTAAGAAAGCTAGAAAATATTAGAAAAGAACGATTAAAATAAGATGAATAGGAGAAAACAGCAGAGAAAGAAAAGGGAGTAGGAGAAAACAGCAGAGAAAGAAAAGGGATAAAAATAAAGTGAAATAATGGCAACAAAATTACTTTAGTTTTTTGGGGCAGAAAATATCTGATTTGATAGCCCCTCTACAGCAAAACATAATCAGCAAAACAAGCAATTTTTAAGAAAGTAACCTAGCCAGCGCAACGCTATGCAACACGAAACTGCAACATTTGCATGCGGTGGTATAATTGCAGAAAAAGAAGTTTATGACGCTCTGGGCTAGATGAAAATCATGTCCCTGGCGTCCTATAGCAATATGGGTGAAAAATCGGCTCAAGATTTTATGTCCCCTAGTTTCAAAAGTAGGATTTTTGAAGAATTATAAGAGCTAACGCTCACGGGGTAAGAGTAAAACTGTTAGGAATTCAGGATTAAATGCCTGATGTTAACACATTCAGGACCACCGTTGTGCGAGGATCTCCTGATTCAGCAGTTTCATCTGTTTCTTTATTTTTTTCCATGAGATATTTCGCATTCTGTGCCTAACACCGACGTGCTCTGATAACTTGAGGGCATGAATTAAGAACGCCAAATTCGGGCCGTATGAAACGGCGCAGTAGAGATAAAAAGTATGACACACGTACACCCATGTGCGTCAGCGTCCGTAACCGTGTTCAACAACCCTCCTACACGACACAGCCACGCCGATTCAGGTAATTTTCACTGTGATACAGGATTTCCACCCGATCCTCATCTCGTTATTAGCTCCGCGGTCCCAAAAATAAGGGAGAGAAATGTTTCGATTCAGGTAATTTCTTCAAGATGCGCCATGGATGCGAAATATAATACATTCAGAATAGTGTAAAGTATTACTGAGAGGTATCTTTGGGCATGATCCAACTAGGGATAAACCTGTCGGGGCTGGCTGGTAGTTGTTTCAAACGCAGAACGTAATGTATGTCCCTAGAAGACTGACACTTCTACTTGGCCCTGGCCAGATTAGACGGCTGCTTGAAAGTGTAACTCGATTAGATACCTTTCATCTACGACTGAGCAAATAAGCGAACAACGCAGCGCTATTTCTGCGCCACCTTAACTGCCTGGCGAGTTATCAGAAGGGTAGTCTACGCAAGTCAGCTAAGGGAATCAGAGATTAGAAGGATGCCAAGCGCAAGAACGAGAGTTTCTAACGAAAGATGAGATTCGTGAGCGCTTAATGATCAGAGTGTGACTTTAAGCAGGGCGTGGGCGTTTTCTCGAAACAAATGGGCTTCGATGGAGGGAGGTGGGGGGGAGGGGGACACCAAAACTGTAGTCCATTTTCCATGAGCGCACCTGTCAGATCAGTTTCGTCGGTCGATGGTTCGAATCCCAACGGTAGCCAAGTTTTGAAATTCTGTAGCTCTAATTTTCCAAGAGGGAATGAGCTTTGGAGCGGTCCCTCGAAAGCTTTCCTCGCTGGTCCGCTTCATGAATCCTTATCAAGCAACTACAAGAATGCCCAGTTATGGGCGGAATTCTTCTCTCAACTAGACATTGAACATCGCTCCAAAGTACGGATCCTGGGATCGATGCTCCTCTTCCGTCCGGGCTAACCATATCAGACCAGTCTGGGAGGATAAAAACGGTGACTTTTAGGTCGGCAGGCAAGAAAATCTTGTACATGGGCTGATAATTGCATAATCAAAAGAAATCACGGCGATTCTGAATGGAAGTAGGATACGACATTCAAAGCGATTGATCATCCCTTAAAGCTTTACCCTTTTATCCCTTTTTTAGCCTGTTTGACCCTAGTGCTATTATTATTGAAAATATTAGTCCATTCATTACTGAGCCTAAATATTGACGTGCAACCAAGGACTACATAAACATTGGTTTCCTCGTGTTCACTAGTTTAGTCCCTCCAAATCGTTTCGCGCCTCCAATTACTGGCGGAAAAAGGTTTTTGCGCTTCGCGCGTTAGGCTTGCCTATTGTCCTTTTAGTGCGGACGTTTGGGGCAGTGTGTTGAAAGCATTAGAAATAAATAAAAAGTGCGGATGTTAGGCGGTTGTGTGAACGCCGACGGAACGTGTGAAATGACCGTAATAATCAACCGATGGTAAATAATGCATAATTTATGCGCACTTATGAATATGTTTCGCTTTTCATAGACATTCCTTGGCCATTTGCCAAGTGTTTTAAGCATGGATAAACGGGGTCTTAACAGCGTTTTTTTCGATTTCTGACTAATATGAAAATCTATTCTGAACCGGTCGCTGCTCTGATCGCTGTCCGACTTGGCCATTCCGAATCAGACGCGTTCTGGGCCCTTTCCGGTTTCCGATGCCATCGCTAATAACATCTGGTTCGCAGGAAACGCCATTCAAAACAGTTCAGTTCTTCAAAGGCAAAGTGCACGAATGAATTTCCAATGCTCCCGGGACCTCTGAGCACGGCTTCTGCGTGGCGGCCCTACCCAAGGAAGGTATCTTGGGCGCCTATCAACTGAAACCTACCGATCCGGTCGCTTCACCGCTGGCGATATATCGCAGCGGTTATTTTGGCACGAATGCCAACGGACACTCTCAGAATCGCTTTCAACAGTGCCGTGTATCAGACTTTTTTTGGCGAGATTTTGACCATGTTCACCTCGCGTTTTCTCTATTTACCGACCATATAGCACCCCTGCTAACATTGTTAGTGAGTACCAAATGCTGCTTCAGGCCTTTAAGTCCCTATCTCCAGGAATAAAGTGCTATTTTAAAGAGGG